AAAATGAAACCCAAACCAAGCTGGTAACTTGCAAAATAAAACCCCAACCAAACTGGTAGCTTGTAAAATGAAACCCAAACCAAACTGGTAACTTGCAAAATAAAACCCAAACCAAACTGGTAGCTTGTAAAATGAAACCCAAACCAAACTGGTAGAGTGTAAAATGAAACCCAAACCAAACTGGTAACTTGCAAAATGAAACCCAAACCAAACTGGTAACTTGCAAAACAAAACTAAAATCAAACTTATAACTTGCAAAGTGAAACTGAAACCAAACCGGTAACTTGCAAAATGAAACCCAAACCAAGCTGGTAGCTTGCAAAAATGAAACCCAAATCAAACTAGTAACTTGCAAAACAAAATCCAAATCAAACTGGTAATTTGCAAAATGAAACTGAAATTGGAACTTGTGAACCTGCTGAATCATAAACAAGCAAGGAGGGAATCTGACTGCCAAGCACTTTCCTTGTGATGAAGCTGGAGAACATTTTTAGCTGATTTGTTTTGAAGAAATCAATAGAAGCGCTCGGTTTTCTTTGGAAAGAGCTGCCGATTTAAGGGATGAGAACAGGCTGTCCTACATTTTGTAATTCACTGACTCAGGCAGTGTAGGAACATTACCTGATGCTTCTTTTCTGAGCAAATGAGGGCATTCCTTTTGCTTGCTCCATCTTAGGTGGTTTCCAAGAATCAAGAGCTTTTGATCCAAGTAGTGTCAGTAATTTTTCTGACTTCACTGGCCTGATTTCTCGTGAGCAGCCAAGTTGGTCCAAGGAGCTTTTGTTTTGTAAATGACACCTCACCCCTTCGGTCACCACCTCGGCGAGCAGAGGTGGTCTTCAGAACCTTCAGCAGGTTCTGACCAGTTCTGGAGAACCAGTAGCGGAAAAGTTGAGTAGTTGGGAGAACCGGTCAATCCCACCTCTGACTGGCCCTGCCAACCCTATCTAGCCTCTGCCTCCTGAGTCCCAGCTGATGGGCTGGGTCTCCTTTGGTTGCCCTGCATAGGAGAACTGAGCTGGGTTAGTGGGGTGGAGAGGGAAGGGGGATTTTGCAGTATCCTTCCTCTGCCACGCCCACCGCGCCACACCCACAGAATCGGTAGTAAAACAAATTGAACCGCACCATTGCAGGAGAGCCAGTTGTGGGCAGAAACCTGATGGGAAAGAAATGCGAAGATAACAAGGAACAGGCTTTTTTGAGGTTCACCAAATGGATTATTCTTGGGAGGATGCAGGAAAAGGCGAATTGGGAGCTTGTTTATCTGAAGATGCAGAGATGTTACAGAGTTAGCCATCTGGAGGCTGGTGGGAAGCTTAGGGAGTCCTCGACCTGCGGCCACAACTGAGCCCAGCATTTACGTTGCAAATGGGAGACATTTATTTAGTGAATTTTGCCCTGTTTTATGACTTCTCTTCCCATGGTTAAGCGAATGCATGCGGTTGTTTAGGAACACGGTTGTTAAGTGACTTCATCATAAATTGGAGCCGGTTGCCAAGCATCTGTGACTGTGGAGATGCTGTAGTGGTCATAAGTGGGAAATGTGGCCGTAAGTCATTTTGTTCAGTGCTGTTGTAACTTCGAACAGCCACTAAAGAATCTGTTGTAAATTGAGGGCTCCTTGTGTGTAACCAGATCTGGGCTGCAGAAAATGATCCAATCTCTAGAGGGCAGCAAAGAGATGCCCACAAAAACTCTTGTTTTGTTGCCCCCTGGTGGTCATGTAGATTTTTCTCCTCAAATCCAGTCACCCTAATGTAAGACACACAGCAAGAGATCTTGAAGAAATACAGGCATACAATCAGCTATCTAGAGCCAGTTAGCCCTCAGCTTACAACTGTTCATTTAAGGATGCTTCAAAAAACGAACAAAACAAACAAAAAACAGAAGTGGCAAAAAGGACATTTGACTCATTCTCAAAGTTACAATTTTCATCATATGCCCACAATCATGTGATCCGCACAATGGGTCCAAGCATGGGATGACTCCCTTAGTGGCTGAAATTCCTGGTCCCAGTTGTAAGCCAGGGACTAGCTGTAGGTGTGTTTAGCAACCTTGCTTTTAATTTCTTTCTTAGACCATGGAGGTTGGGAATTCCTTGATGGAAGATTTGCTGATATTCAGACTCCTTAAAGTTGGAAGTATTTAAATCCATTTTTAAATGCAAAAGCAGAGGGATGCAATCAAGATCAAGGGAGGCACTAATACCACTCTATAAAGCCTTAGTAAGTCCACACCTAGAATACTCCAACCAGTTTTGGTCACCACACTATAAAAAAAGAAAGTTGAGACACTAGAACTGGGATGGCAAACCTATGGCGCATGTGCCGGAAGTGGCATGCAAAGCCATTTCTGCCAGCACACGACAAGAGCCCCACTGCGCATGCACTTGCACCGCCACCCAACAGCTGCATGGGGCACACAGGGGGGTTGCATGTGCATGCACAGGGGGCGTGGCCCCTCCCCCTGCTCATTGCCTTCTGGGGGCCTGGCACGTGAGCGCGCACACACAATTTTTGGCACGTGAGCCCCAAAAGGTTAGCCGCCACTGCTCTAGAAAGAGTGCAGAGAATAGCAACCAGGAGGATTAGGGAAGGCAAAAGATACAATGCCTGGTTGCAGGAACCGGGCCTGGCTATCTGGTGAAGAGAAGGACCGGGGGAGACAGGAGAGCATCTTCCAATATTTGAAAGGCTGCCCCAGAGAGGAGGAAGGGGTCAACCTGTTTTCCAAAGCACCCGAAGGCCAGACAAGGAATAATGGAAGGAAAATGATCAAGAAGAGATTCAACCTAGAAATAAGGAAGAATTTCCCGACAGTGAGAACAATCAACCCATGGAACAGAAGTTGCCTTCGGAAGTTGTGGGAGCTTCATCCCTGGAGGATTTCAAGAAGAGATTGGACTGCCCTCCGTCAGAAATGGTGCAGGGTCTCCTGCTTGGGTGGGAGGTTGAACTAGATGACCTACAAGGTCCCTTCCAACTGTGTTATTCTCAGAGGTGATATTCAGCAGGTTCTGACCAGTTCTAAGGAACCGGTAGTGGAAATTTTGAATCGTTTTGAGAATCGGCAAATACCTCTGACTGGAGATTTTACAGTATCCTTCCTCTGCTGTGCTTACCAAGCCACGCCCACAGAACCGGTAGTAAAAAAATTTGAATCCCACCACTCGTTATTCTATTCTAAATATAAAGAATGTTTGCAGGAACTGGGCCTAGCTAGTCTAGTGAAGAGAAGGACCAGGGGAGACATGATAGCGGTCTTCCAATATCTGAGGGGCTGCCACAGGGAGGAAGGGGTCAAGCTATTTTCCAAAGCGCCTGTAGGCCAGACAAGGAATAATGGATGGAAACTGAACAAGGAGAGATTCAACCTGGAAATGAGGAGGAATTTTATGACAGTGAGGACCATTCACCAGTGGAACAGAAGTTGCCTTCAGAAGTTGTGGCTTATCCAACACTGGAGGGTTTTCAGAAGAGCCTGGAAAACCACGTGTCTGAAATAAGGTCTCCTGCATGAGCAGGGGGCTGGAGTAGAAGACCTCAAAGGGTCCCTTCCAACTCTATTTTAATTGATTGATTGTGTAAATCCGAGGGGTGGGGTGGGGGGAAGAACGAAAATCTTGTCCGTAGTAGGGGGAAGGGGGGGTGCCCAAATCTTTTGTATAGTGCTACACACACACACACACACACACACACACACACACACACACACACACACATGCTCTCTCTCTTTCGACCCTGATAGCGGCCTCGCTTTCCTACTCAAGCTTTGCCCTCTCCAGCCAGCTAAGGGTGTCCGCGCGCGTAGACTTTGCAGGGGGGGGGGGGGGTAACTGCAGGAAGGTCTTCAGGCCTTCGGTTTCCCTCTTTGCGCGCCCTGCCGTCGCCCAGCGGAGCAGGCAGCGTTTTGGGTGGCCTTCCCACGACCGGCACTTCAGGCGGGTCCAGGAAAAGGACGAGCTTTCTTTCTCGCGCGCGCTGGCGCGTCTCCGTGGGTCGGGCTGCATTTTTGCACCTGCTAAAGTTAGCCTTCGCTTGGCTTCGAGGGGAAAACGGGATCCGGTGCACTTGTCTTGAAATGGTATATCGGGTCTCTCCTGCATGAGCCAGGGGGCTGGACTAGAGGACCTCCAAGGTCCCTTCCCTCCAGCTCTATTTGGACGGGTTGAAAGCCACCAGCCGAGTGGAAGCCTTTCGTCTGGAACGCAGCCCCGGAGTCCTCAGGCTAGCCAAGGTGAGGTCCTCCCCATCCCTCCCCACGACCTTCGCGCTGGAGTTAGAGGGCTCCGCCCTTCCAGTCCATTCCACCCTCCCACCCGGGAGCGCAGCGAGGCTCTTGAGTTGCAACCGGGCGCCCCCGCCCCCTGCTTCCCAGCCGACCCCCCGCCTGGAGCCTCATCGCCAGGAGGAGGCGAGAGGAGCCCCGCTTAGCCAGTCCTCGCCCGGTGCGCACCGGCGCAGCATCCCAGCCTGGCGGGGAGCCGCTAAAGCCTCCGAGCGCCCCAGGCGGCAGCCGGGCGGAGCGCAGCGCTCCAGCGGGGGTGCCCGCAACTGGGCGGCCGGCAGCCGCCTCGCCTCGTCTCTTTTATTTCCCCCTCCGCCCGCGGCTCGGCTGGCTCTTTGGCTTGCTCGCCGGTCCGAAAGCCAACCAAAGGGAGATCCACGCGGAAGCCCCTTCGCCCCGCGGCAGGTGGCTCCGTTGCGCGCTTCTTCCTCCCCCACGCAGTTCTTCATCGCCCCGCCGATCGACGCAACCAGGAGCCGGGGACGGTTCTCTCGACCGGGGGGGCAAGGACACCCACGCGCGACCCGACTTTAAAGCCCCGACACTCTTGGGCTAACCCAAGACCCCAGGATGGGGCTCCCGGATTGAGGCACGAAGCAGGAGGGTAGGGTGGGGTGGGGGGGTCTCCCCGACCCGCGCGAGAGGAAGCCCTAGGGCGGACAGAAGGGGGGAAAAAAAAAGAAGAAAAAAACCCCCACGCGGGTTTTCTCCACCCAGCCTTTTTTCCTCCCCTTGCGAAGAAGATCGTGCGGATTTTATTACTGCCACCCGGGAAGATGCCGTTCGCCGGATGGGCCCTGAGCCTCGCCGTCTTGTGCGAAGGTAAGAGGCAAAGGGTGGATGGGTGGATGGGGGGGACACACCAGGAAAGAACCTCAAGGGGGGGCAGGCTAAGATCCCACGCAGGGAAATTCCCACGCGGAGAAGTTTGGAGCCGACTTGAGCGCGGCAGCCAAAAGCGCCGCAATAAGAAAGAAAGGAAGGAAGGAGCGAAGGGGGGGGGGGGATATTAGATATTGGATGAACAGAGTTGGAAGGGACCTTGTAGGTCATCTACTCTAACCCCCCTCCCGCCCAAGCAGGAGAATCTATAGTCTCTACTTGAAAGCCTCCAGTGTTGAAGCTCCCACAGCTTCCGAAAGCAACTTCTGTTCCATGGGTTGATGCTTTTCACTGTCAGAAAGTTTCTCCTTTATTTCCAGGTTGGATCTCTCCTGGATCAGTTTCCATCCATTATTCCTTATCTAAATTTGGAGCAAACAAAATCCCTGCTTGGATTTTCCCATCATTTTTCCTGGGGGAGGGGCATCCTTCAACATCCTTGCTCCTGGTAACTCACCCTACCCACCCGGAGCGAGCCGGTCTTGGGGCCCAAGGAACTGAAGTTTAGGATAGATAACGTTTTTTTAAAAGGCTGAATTTATCCTCGGTTTGGGCTCTCCGAGGACGCCAGGCTACTGTTTGCAAACTCGCTCCATCAATCCTTGTCATTTCCAGCAAAAGCGCCTTCAAAAAGTCAGGGAGAGAATGAAGAGTGAGTTCCTGGCTTTCGAAGGAACTTTTATACGCATATTCCCTTTTTTTTTCTTCCTTGCCATTATGGGATTAACTTGGCTTCAGGTTGATAAAAGCCGACATGATGAAAAGTTATTGGCTGGCCGAGGCGGATGATGCTACCGCAGCTGTTTTGTTTCTAAGGCAAACAATATATTTTTAAAATATATCCATTATCTGCTTCTCTTCCATCTGGCATTGTTTGCCAAAGCTCCTGATGTTTATAGGAATAAATCAGAGTTGGGGTGTTTGTAGAAAAAGAAAAAAAACCTCACCGTCTCTGGGAGTGGTGATCTCATTCAATTCATTAAAAAGAACTCAACCAAAATCAGATTTGGGATAATACTTGTATAAACTAGCCTCCCCCGCCCCCCCTTTCCTCTGTTAGGTTAAAATTATTCTTTTTCTTCACTTTGTTCAGCTTGGATTGCCACCAATTAAAGGTTGAACACGAAGGTTGGGTTTCCTTCTTTGGGAAGTGCAGATGGACTCACACTAGCTTGTTTGTTGCCTCTGCACAAATTTTGTCCCAGTCTTCCAGACAAAGGGATCTGTCCCCACCTCGCTGGCTCTCCGAATCTCCATTTACTTCTAGAATATTATGGAGGACTCAACTAGATGGGGTTCCTTTTGTGTCTCAGATTGGCCAAAGCTTAAAATCAGAACCCTTTTGCAAGTAGATTATAAAATTACATTATGGCACGTTATAATAACAATTATAATTGTGCCTCCTCTCCTTGCGTTCCTTCTGGTTATGATGTATAATATCGAGTTTGCATTTCAATGTTAGACACTAGGAGGCCTGAGTTAAGGAAGAATAAGAGGCAATTTACTTCTCATAATCTTCTACTTTATTAATCATAATATCCACCCCCTTCCCAACAAATTTGTACTTTGGATACACTTGTTCAGTCCGGAATGTACTTCCCTCCCAAGTATTATTATTATTAAGTATTATCGGAATATTAAAATCAAGAGGGAGATCTAGAATGTATCATATTAAGAATATATAATGCATTGTAGATCTCCATCTTAATTTTAATATTCTGTTTCATGTTTACCCTGCCGTTGTTTCAATGTCTGGCAGCAGCCTGATCTACACTGAATAAGGAGAAATGCAGAAAGCAAAGTCAGATTTTGAAATGGTTTTGCTCTATTTAGTCGTGCGAATAGCGAAATGTTTAATAAGCAGAAATGAGTTTCTTGCTTTTTTTTTTTTTTGATGTTTGCAATTTGAGCTATGAGGCTGGCTTGACTCCTGGTGGCTTTATGAAAATCTGTCTCTTGAAATGTGTCTTTTGGTTTGTTTCTTTGTTTTAACCTTGATCTGTGGTCTCCTGAACCTGGACTGATCTTGGTTTATTTTATTCACTGGTAATTTCTTAGCACACATGCAAAGGATTAGCTGAGTAGGAATTTGCAGAGACCCTTTTGTTTTGAAACGGGGAGGGGGGGGAATATTAGGAACTCTGCTTCATAAATTGTGCTGTAAAAGTACTTTTAAACCTGAGCCCTGCCACTTCTGATCAGGGTTGAGAGGCAGTGCAAATGTTTGGGGAATATTTTGGGTTTTTTTGGTTTTGTTTTGTGGTGTGGATTCTGTTGTCGAGGTCAGCAAATGGACCAGGGGCTCCATTCATGCTGGGAAGATACTGTTCCCAGCAATAATCTGTAATGGCTTTGAAGGTCTGGATGAAAAGGAGAAAAACGTAATGAATGTAGAAATAGCAGCTGTGCAGCTTTGAGGTGAAAACAGTGGACACTCCAGGTTTGATAGAGAGGAAGGAAGGGGAAGAAAGAAAGCATGAGAGAGAGAGAGAAAGAGAAATAGAGGGAAAGAAAGAAAGAGAAAGAGTGAGAGAGAGAAAGAGAAAGAAATAGAGGGAAAGAAAGAAAGGAAGGAAGGAAGGAAGGAAGGAAGGAAGGATGGATTGCATTTATTATAGAGGGGAAAAAAGCTCAAATGCAGAGAAAAATTACCCCACATTGAAATGAGTGAAAGGTGTGCCTATAACATTGCCTGCTATGGAGGTTGTATAGGGGAATTAACATGCAACTTGACTCATATTTACGACGGTCACAGTGTGATCCCCTTTGCGACCACGGGGAAGCCCACCGGGAAGCCCGATTCCCTAACTTAACAAATGCAACGATTCTTTTAGCAACAGTGGCAAGAACAGTCGTGAAACAGGGCAAAATTCCATTAACAATTTTTTGTTTAGCAACCTAAACGTTAGGCTTAGCTGTGGCCTTACCTCGAGGACCACCTGTAGAATACGTCAACCACAAGTTTCTATTAAGACTTTTATCTGATGATGGTTTGAAAAAAACCCTGGTTTCTTCTCAGGGTCTCCTGAGTTTGAGACTCTGAAAACTGCTGGACTTGCTACGTGTTGTGACTGGGAATGGAGCAACTCACCATAGCCAATTCACCATGGCCAACTCACCACTGCAGGGACAATTTAACAATTTTATTTAATTTTTTAAAATAAATTTAAAAATATTTTAATTTTTGCCATTCACATTAAATTCTGACCCTCCTTTGGCATCCTTTCTTTAATGATTCTATCCCATCATTTCTTTGATATTAGTGTAGCTTTTATCCTGCGGTGAGTTGGCTGTGGCAAGTTGGCCATGGGGAGTTATCCCACAGCGAGTTGGCCATGGCAAGTTGATTATGGTAAGTTGGTCATGGTGACTTGACTATGATGAGTTGGCCATGGCAAGTTGGCTGTGGGGAGTTATCCCATAGCATGTTGGCCAAGGCAAATTGACTATCGCGAGTTGGCCATGATGAGTTGGCTATGGCAAGTTGGCCATGGGGAGTTATCCCATAGCAAGTTGGTCATGGCAAGTTGATTATGGTAAGTTGGCCATTGGGAATTATCTCATAGAAAGTTGGCCGTGGCAAGTTGACTATGGAGAGTTGGCCGTGGTGAGTTGGCTATGGAGAGTTGTCCATGGCGAATTGACTATGGAAGTTGACTATGGTGACTTGGCCACGACAAATAGTCATAGACCTGTTTTGATGAAATTGGGGTCCTGAGCTTTGTCTTACTTAGAATGGAACTGAAAATATTTTATTTATTTCGATGATGAATTGGATGAAATCTGGAGCTTCTGAATGACCAAACCTTTGAGGTTCAGATGTTATGGAAGAAAAAAAATGTTTTCAGGATTCTTTATAAAGATGTTATTTCTTAGCTCATCGTGGTTTCTGTTTTGAAACTACTCTAATGGTGATGAAAATGGCAGAGCACATAAAGGGAATTCTACTGTGTTTCTCACAAAATAAGGCTGGCCCTTTTCGGGGGAGAATTAATTTCTTCCCCCCTCACGCACCAGCGCCATCTCCAACAACAACGTCTGAGTCACTCCCGCTTTCCCCCCATCCCCGTAACAACGTGAAAAAAAGATTTTGAGGTACCTGGCAGCGCCATGCTCTGCGTTTTGGTTTAATCCCAAGCGGTTGGGTGGGCGTGAGAAGAGCCAAGCGAGCGTCTCTGCTGCGGCTACCCTTGGTGCTCCAGCCTTGGGCTCTGCAAGTTTGTAAAAGTCCCGGGGTGCAGCCCATTCCTGCATTCCAAGTGCCTCGGCTGAGCTGCAGCTGTCCCTTTCTCGCTAGCGCCATCTCCAATAACAGCAGCAGCAGCAGTGGGAACCGTGGAAGTTACAGAGGCAGTTCCCCCACCCGAGAAGCGGCTAAAACGCTTCCATGGTTCCCGCCGCTGTTGCCTCTGTTATTGGAGATGGCGATGGCATGGCGATGGCATGGCGATGGCAAGAGAGGGACAGCTGCAACTCGGCCTGGGCGCTTGGAATGCAGGAACGGGCTGCGCACCAGGACTTTTGCAAACTTGCAGAGCCCGAGGCTGGAGCACTAAGGGTAGCAGCAGCAGAGATGCTTGCTTGGCTCTTCTCACGCCCACCCAGCCGCTTGGGATTAAACCAAAATGCAGCGTGAGGCACTCCCAGGTACCTCAAAATCTTTTTTTCCTGTTGTTTACGGCGACGGGGGAAAAGCGGGAGCGACTCAGACGCTGTTGTTGGAGATGGTGCTGGTGCCTCTCTCGGAACCATGGAAGCTACAGAGGCCTGAGAAGCAGCTGAAACACTGCCGGACATCCATGCCGACACCACCCGCCTGCTGACCCGGGTAAGGAGCCCTCTGTGCTCCACCATGATGTTAGGAGTGGCTGATGGAGAGGCGTAGCTGCCTGCGGGGCACTCCTAATGGCAAGTTCCCCCCCCCAATTTCTCATGTTTTA